TCTCACATTTTTAAGTGCTTTTGGAAAATTTTTAGCACTGTTAAACCCAAAGAAAGCATAATGACAAAGTCAACAAATGCAAACCTGCAGAACTAGAACTTGGAAAATGCTAGGGGGGTTTTTTCTTAAAGAAAACTGGAGGTGGTGGAATCATTTTAGAGGCAGAATATGATTAACCAGCAAGAACCTCTTTTGGCTCTAAAACAAGCTTCAATTTTAAGACAAACAATCTGTTGAACCACTCTTAGGGCAACATACTTTCTCATAAGCAAGGCAATAATTCTGGTAAGTTGATTTTATTCTCCAAATTGTTCCACTTCCAGTCAAAAGTGCCAGTAAGGCCAGAGTATCACTTGTCCCCTTCTCACTACCAGTCTCATCAGCCTGGAGAAACACTGTCAGAGCACATAGGTTTAATGCTTCCAGCAATTTCAACCCTAATGAATAACCAAATAAATGCTTAATAAGTTAATTTCCACCTTCAAAGCACAGTCAGAAGGGATTTTTTTCTTTTGGTGTTGCTAGAGACTACTGGCATGTCTTCACCCAATTCAGTTCATTTGCAAAAGTTGGGGGGGTTCTTGCTGCTTGATGAACATAAGGAATTAAGGGGTGTTCCCTGTCCCAAAGCCCTTTCAGAACGTGATGAAATACCAAGTCCTACCATAACATTCCTTCACCTGTAGATCAGGAAAGCAAATGGACATGTGCCATTTGCCTCAAGAGTCCCTTATAACCACCTTCCTTCCCATGGGGCTTAAACAAAAACTTGTGGGAGGTGAAGAGAAATGCCCAACTTGCACAACACACCCCTCAGGAAGCACAGGGTTGTTACCACAGTCCAAACCCAACAGCTCTCCATGTCCTAATCAAGGTGTCTGTCCTGAGAAGCTTATCACAGGCACAGGACCTAGTTTGTGCTGCTATTTCATGCTCACACAGGGAGCTGATGACAGCACTGCTGCTAAGGAACAGGCAAATATTTGAAATGCAAAGAACAAGCTGTAAATAGCAAAAGCCCTGCCTGAGGCCAGGTAAGGTCTGAAGTCAGGAGGAGATCTCTCTTCACCAGGCTCTGATTGCCATGCTACCTCTCTCCAACCCAAGCACCTACCTAACAGAGCCTTTCTTGGAGCCCTTCAGATACCTGTGCCTCAATCTGGGTACCTCCTACCAGAAGAAGAAAACACATCACCATCAACCAGACAGTCAAACACTGGAATAGCCTCCCAAGGGAAGTGGTAGATTCCCTCACATGGGACAGTTTTAAGCCTCAGCCTGAAAGGGTGCTGAGCCATCTCATATGAACTATGGGAGTACCTAGAAAGGTTGAACCAGGTGATCCTTGAGGTCCCTTCCAACCCAAACCACTTCATGATTCCATGATTAAGTGTTCTAAAGACTGGGATATGGTGGGGCCAGCACTAGGCCTGAAAGTCTGAAGCAGGTGAACTAAGGGCCCTTATTTTCCTAGAGGTGGAAACCTCACCAGCAAGGCACAGACTGTGGCCAGAGCCAGCCCAGAACAAAATAAAAGCTTCTTGAATTTATTAAAAGCAAAGCAGGCCTGAATTGGAGATGCTTCTTGCTGAGAAATTTGTTTCAGCTTCTGCCTTTCAGCTTCCTTTTCTCACTACTGACCCAAAGACTCCACGTTCAGCCCAAATCAGAATTTCCGAGGCTTCAGACCTGGTAGAAACAGCAATCCTTGGGCTTTCATGCTGAGGTCCAGAAAAGGACCCACAGGAGGGCTCTCCAACAAGCATAACTCTCATTCTGTAGCTCCTCGAGGCTATGGCAGGAGCCCAACAGACAACCAGGCAAGCTCCCAGTTAAATCCCACCTGCATTTCTATGACTTAAAATGTAAATAATAAGTAAATAACAAGAAATCACAAACTCTTGCCACACAACTTCTCAGAATCAAGAAAGGCAGAGCCAGTCCAAAAAGTGCAGATGCACACTCAGGAGAGGGAAGTTCACCAGGACTGGAGCTGCCTCCACTTTTAGAAGTGAAGGAGCACATTAGCAGTGGCTGTGGTCAGAGGGTGAGACCAACCACACATCCCCTTCAGCCTTGCACAGTTAAGAACTATTCCATGCAAACTGTCTTAAAAGTGAGCTCCCAGATCAATGCAAGCTCAGGACAGAGGGTGTTTAGATGGAGAGCTCCTCAGCCGGATGGGTATTTTCCTCCTGGTGGGACAGATGAACAGGCACACTACTACCTCTCAAACACACCACTTGCTTCCATCCAGCATGCTGCAGATAGAGAACATCAGACATCTTCCTTCCAAACTCAGTACCACCTCATTCTGACTTCTCTCTGAGAGGACCTCACCATTTCTACCCCAAGAACATTTCCCTCAGCTTCCTCCTCTCCCCATCTAAATCACAATTTACAGTATCTTCCTGTTTTCCTGTGCTGTGTTTCACTTCTCCCTGCCCAGCTTTGGAGCCTGGGACATAATAGCTTGAATAACAGAACTTATAAACAATTTTCTTCTTGTGTTTTCAATAACCTCAGCAGAGAACTAAAAAAACTTAAGGATCATAATCAGAAAGGTCTCACCAGGACTAGACAAGTCCTTGTGTCTAGAGGGGAAAATTAAATTAGACACTACTACTGCTTCACCATGACAAACAAGAGCACAGAAGTAACAGTGAAAATGATGGATGTTATCAAATCCATCTTACTTAAATTAGGATTTTAAATTAAGCTAAGGAAACATCATATATAAGTCAAACTTCTGGTAAGAGGCTCTGTCTAAACTCTGAATCATAAATTATAAACAAGCATAAGAGTACTGGTTATCAAATGCTCTACATGAGTAGTTTTTATTAATATTAATCACAGCTGTAAGTCCAAGTAAGGAAAGACAGAGGAATTAATGTAAGAAACACTTGCAGCATTTATTTGATTTTTGGGAAAAGAAAATACCTCTGAGTAATACTCATAAAGATGGGTTTCTCCAGCAGAGTTTTGCAAACAATAAAGTTTACAGTCAGGGAGGTGGTGGATGGTGTTAATAACAGAGGGGATAGAATGATAAGCCAAAATGAGCTGATGAGCCTGTTCTCATAACCATAATCCAGCCCATTTGATAATGTCTTCTTCCATTGCCATTACTTCATCATCATTCATTGCATTATGGCTAAACATAGACTATAAACTCTTCATAATTTTGTTTGTGAAGCATTATGCATATTTGTGGAGCTATCTAAATAACCTTAAATGAAGTTACAAGCCCAAGTGAAGACTGGGGGAGAGCCAAGTCATGCCCTCATACATAGAAGGCTGCCAGAAGAGCAAGGATAAGCTGAAGTTCCTCTCAGCAATCCCCCCAAACTCCTTCCCAAAGAATGTGAAGAGACAGAGCAGGAGATAAATACACCCTGATTTGACAGCATCTTGTTGTCGGGTTTATCAAGGGACAACACTGGGGTTTGGTTTATCATTAGAACAATATCCCAAACCAGCCAGGCAGCCAAAATACTGTGCTGTGGTGGTGGGAAGCAAGCAGAACTGTGCAGTGGAAAAACTCCATGCTGTCACTATGGAAGATAATACTACTCATATATTATTTTAAAGCAGTTTTTATTATTGATAGAACAGATCCTGCACCTCAGCACAATAGTCTCTGTATTCAAACAGAGAAATGGAAAACCTCAAGCTTTCCATGTAACACTGGGTGTGGAAACAGACAATTTGCTTTGGCATCCCCCCCTAACTCCTTCATAACACAAACTTCCATTTGCAAAATCTCAAATTATTGAAAGCCAAAGCAACCAAACCCGTGCCTTGAGAAAGGATTTCATCATAAAAGGACAGAACATTAAAGCTGTTTTGGGAAACCAGTGAAGAACATTTGCAACTATACAGTGTTTAGAAAGTTGGCAGGAAACCATGTTTAAAGCGTGGCTTACTGCCTTTGAAATATTTTTGGTTTGAAGAACAACTCAAGAAATTAATTTGGGCATGTACACATATAAATGAATGCACAAGTTATACACATGACCTCTAGTTTTGCCCATATCTTTGGAACAAACACAGGAAGAAAGAAACCTCCATTCCCCCTGGTCAAAGTGTTTGTGAGTCTACCAGGTGGCTCTGGTGAGGAGCAAGATGAATTTTGTAGGCATCTCTCCATTTTCATTGTGCCAAATCAAACCTAGAACTGGCTTGTTGTGTTAATCTGAATGGCCATGAGTTTTGATCCAGTTTAGGAAGCCTTACAGGTGAACATCTCCTTTCAACAGAAAACACACACCTAGAATGTGCTCAATTTGACACGTGAAGAGTTAAAGAATTGGAAAGAAGCAGCTACAAGATGCAAACAGCAGACATTCTGCAGAAGCAGAGCACTGGCAACACCCATCCCATTCAAAGACTTCCAGAAACCTGACAGGTCCCAAGCTCAGCAGAATATCCACAACTCTCCTGTTCCACCAAGAAAACAGGACCCTGCTGCAGCACACACTGTGACAAATCAGATGTGCTAAACTGCAGATGTTTCGTTTATTTTGTGCCCAGGACAGAAAAATACCATGCTCTATTACACACTGCATTCCCTCTGCAGAGAGCCCTGCTTGATCAACATTCATAAGCTGATGCCCTAGAAGGTAGCAAGCCATGACCATATTCTCCTTGATTTTGCAGTTACTGCCCTTTTCCATAACACCATTCTTTCTGTTTAGTCCCTCATCTATCCAGCAAACCACTGGCACTGCCTTAAAGACAAAGACCTATGTTTAGTGGAGGTTTAGCCCAACAGCTCTCAGGGCAAGGTTAACAGCTTTCACCCTCTTTCTTTATCCAGGGAGGCACACAAATCTAGTCAGAAATTTTCCAGGCAAAAGTAGCCCACACAACTTCTCAACAACCATCTTTGCACAATATCTTTAACCTCTTCCTTTGAAATGCTTTTTCCCATGATATCAAGTTTTTGTCTCTCTATGTGTTGAAAAAAAGGCATTAAATATTAGCTTTTTTAACCATACCTTCCATGACATACACCAGGGAGCCCACATCTCCTTCCTTGATGATGCAGCTGTCTTTGCCATACTCCACGGGGTACATACAATCCACAATCTCCTGGATCTGAGACAGTTCCAGGTTCTTCATGAAGTCATTGTCAAGGATTGCCTCCTTTATTAGCTCCTTGGACCTGGGACAAAAGAAAAATTGACAAGATCAATCCACGTGTCCATCAACTGAGCTCATGAATAGCATGTGAACTTCAGGGCAACCACATGCTGAATCTCCTCAGAATAAAAATCCAACATTTCCCTGATAAAGTCCATCTGCAGAGAAACAATAATAATTAAAAAATCACAGAAATGTTAACTTCTGACTATTTTTGTAAATAGGTTTTGGATATATCAAGTCTTGAAATAAAAATAGGTCTCATGTGATTGCAAGAACCTGTTTTAGCTGCAAGTTTCACATCAATAAGAACACCAAAGAGTAACAGAGCTACTTGTAATGTCTTCCATACACAAAACTGAAAGCAAATACAAACAAGAAGTTAAAGGACTTACGACTTAGTTTATGGTATTTTCTATTAAACTATCCAAACTGGAGCTTATCAAAGCTGGATAGTCCACAGACTCTTGAGTATTAATCAAATATCAAAGGCCACTATGATCACTGGAGGAGGCACCACTGCTGCAGGAGTAACACCACCCTCAGTCCATTCCCATGGTGACTAACTGGAAAATTCTGAAGTTATAGTAGTGTGCATAAAATTATACAGGTTGGAAGCCCAGAGTTCTTAGAAGCCACTTTGCAAAGATGAGTAAGGAATGAGTTGCTCCTGATTTCTCAACTCAGAGTTCAAGCATTTGCTGGGAGACCACCCAAAGGGGTACATAACACAACCTCCTCTCTCCACAAGTCCCTCTGCCAGCATCATGTAATGAAAGAAAACATGCAACAAACCCACTGATGTGTTTTTGTTGATGTTCCTCTGACTCTTTCCATTTTTACAACTCCAGGGCTCAGCATACGTGCAGGTGATCCCTCCAAGTTCAGCTTCATCCACCTGCTCATGCGGTGTCACCACCATGTTAATTAAGACATCCTAAAGCAACGTGGGCAAACAAAACTGCAAATGCTAAAACAGACCAAAACTGAAGCTGTTAAACCACCTATAGGCTGGACAGCAGGTCCTCAGCCCTTCATTTCTCACTGTTTGCTGACAGGACCACAGCCTGAGCAGATGACAGCTGCCTGCAGAGCTCAGGCACTGGAAATAGTTATGAAAATATGACTACACAACAAGGTGTGCAAAGAAAGATACATTAAGGGAGCATCTTCTCAACAAACAGTCAAATTGGGACTTCAGAAGACCAAAACCAGCCAGCCAGCCTTGGAGGCATTATCCCTCTGCTATGGTCTTTTTAAAAATAAATACACCTGAAGGTTTTATGCAGCACTGATTCTGATTGTTATTATTTAAGGTGCTTGATATGCTTGTGATAGTTTTGAGGTTATTTCAATGAAACATTCTACTCCACATCTGCATCCATCAGCATTGACTCAGTCAAGGAGCAGGATGGGAAGCAGACCCAGACTTGTCAAGTACCCTCTGCAAGAGAACACAGACTTGGACTGCTACAAAACCCTTTTGCTCTTGGGGAATTGAATCTGACTTCACATCCTGTCACTCCAATTCCTCGTGCATGCAAATAAAAACCACCAGAAAACCTACATCTGTGGGATTTCTTGCTTTCAGTAGTGCAAGAAGATGGTAATTCGTAAGGGTGACCACAGAATCATAGAATGGTTTGGGTTGGAAGGGACCATCAAGCCCATCCAGTCCCACCCCCTGCATGGGCAGGGACACCTCCCACCAGCCCAGGTTGCTCCAAGCCCCATCCAACCTGCCCTTCAACACTGCCAGGGATGGGGCAGCCACAGCTTCCCTGGGCAAGCTGGGCCAGGGTCTCACCACCCTCACTGGGAAGAATTTCCTCCTAATATCTCACCTAAATCTCCCCTCTTCCAGCTACAAGCCATCAAACCAGATGACTGATGTCCTTATTCCCTCATCCTGTGCTAGAGCAAGAAAACAGTTTCTCTGCCTTGACTCAGTATTGCTCTTTCAGTCTTAGCCACCTCCCCAGGTCCCCCAAACCCTCCTAACACAGGCACTAATTATTATTATTACCACCATTAGTCAAGCTATCTGCTGAAGGAGAAAACACAATAAAAGCTTCTGCATTAGTCATATTGGCTGTCAATGGAATTCCAGCCACTTGTTTCATTCCAAGGCTCAAAAGGAGGCTTTCTCCTTGATAAAATAAAGTCAGTCTTTCAAGTGGAGTGTTTCTGAGAATAACCCACAAGGGTCTGGAGGGAATTCAGATATGGTTCAAGTCAGACCTCTCCTATTGACTGAGACCCTCAGGAAAAAAACCCTGCTCTTGTTGCAATCCAGTGCAGCAAAGGGTTTGAAAAGGATCTGGGAAACTTGGGTTAAATGACAACAAAGAGCAGCACAGGAGAATCCCCGAATCCTTTGGAAGGATACTGAAGGGATTTTCCTGGGAGAAACAGCAAAACACACACAAGATTGGAAAACTTAAGGAGTAGAGGAGCTTCATAGTATTGTTACAGCCTCAGGGTTGATCTGAACCAGCCGATTCCTTGGCCTCTGCCCTTCAACACAGAAATAAATCCCAGAGACATTTAGGTTTAGGTGTCTACTAAGTCATCCAAACCCTCTTAACAACAACATGAAACACATCTATTAAGAGGCAAAACACACTGACCAGGACACTGATAACAGAGCTTCATCTCTGCCACATCTAAGCATATTAAAATTAAATCTCTCCATAGAATGGGCTGGATAATAACTCAGTCACACTTGAGTGTAACCAAAACAGATATGATTATTTAAGGATAATTAGTTCAAATGAGACTTCAAATGCAAAGAGGCCATGCAAAAAGCACCTCCAGCTGCCAGAACAGGCACCTTGGGACCCAACTGCACATTTATGAGTGTATTTGCATCAGAATCAACCACACCTTGTTGTTTGTCAGATACAAACCTCTTCCCCAGGAAATATTCCATCTGTCTTTAAAACGAAACAAAAATAAATTTAAAAGCTTCCTTTGACAGACCTGAAAAATAGTTGAGACTAAAAATATATTGTCAAAGCTACAAGAACAGTACCTCTATTGTTCCCTGCAAGAGAATATTCGTCACTCTAATAATTCAAAAACATTACGCATGCAGTGTAGATTACCAACCCCCCACCCTTGCCTTGCAGCCTCCACGTTAGTTTCTTACACAGTTTTCTTTCAAGGCAGTTCACAGGTGCAATTTCGGGTAAAGAGCACTTTCTATTCCTTTTCAGATGAAACTTAGAGCATACAAATGCACTCACAGTTCACCATTTTCCCACAACAACTGCTTTTGTAAACCACACCATTCCTTAATCATCATCATTAGCGTTTTAAAGCAGCATCTACCCCAGACATGCGAATACACAAATCTCCGTAATCACACAAAAAGGTCTTTAAAATGGTCAAACCCACACTCCTGCTATTGCAAGTAAGTGGTTTAAAACAAGATTACAGTTGTTCCACTACATCTTATTTTCAAACAGTGCTTTTTTTCTCCATTTGCTGAGTCAAGTTGCTAATACCAACAATCTGCAAAGGAAATAAAGTGCAATATTTGTCAGGGAACAAGAATATTTCCAAACAGCCCCGTTTTAGCAAGGAAGCATTTTCATTAATATTTCCTTAGACCTGGATTGAATGGCTCCCGAGGGTCATTCAGAGCAGAAAACACTTGTCATCCTTTCTTTCCAGAGGTAGGGACCTGGCACAAAGCCATCACTCCCTTCCTGAAAGATTAATGACCCAACGCGACAAGAGACTTGATGAACGGTCAAAAAGGGCACAATCCTCTGTGATACATCCTTTCCCAAATCAGTTTAAGTCCATCAGGGTAATTAATAAGGCAACAGGAGGAACAAGCTAATTGCCTTCTAATTTGCAGAAGTCATGCAAAAAAGCCCCTTCAGAAGTTTGCTAAAGATATGTTTAATACGTGAGAACCTGCAGGCCTGGTTGCCAGTTCTAGAATTGCTCATATTTAAATGGAACTTCCCATGTTCCAACTTGCACTCCTTGCCCCTCGTTCTGACATTGAGCAGAGTGGGGCTCCATCCTCCCTGCACCCATCCTGAGATACTTGTATACTTGGATAAGGTCTCCCCGCAGCCTTCTCTCCAGGCTGAACAGCCCCAGCTCTCTCAGCCTTTCCTCATCAGGGAGATGCTTCAATCCCCCAACCATCTTTGTCACCCTCCTCTGGACTCTCTCCAGCAGTTCCCTGTTTCTCTTCAACTGTGGAGCCCAGAACTGGATGCAGAATTCCAGCTGTGGCCTCACCAGGGCAGAGCAGAGGGGGAGAATGACCTCCCTGGACCTACTGGCCACTCTTCTTTATGCACCCTAGGATTCCATTGGCCTTCCTGGCAGGGCACACTGCTGGTACATGGATCATTTCCTGTCTATCAGGATTCCAAGATCCTTTTCCTACAAACTGCCTTCCAGCAGATCCACCCTTCACCTTGGGCTGCTTGGGGTTCTTTCTTCCCAGGACCCAACACTTGCCCTTGTTGAACCTCATGAGGCTCTTCTCTGCCCAATTCTCCAGCCTGTCCAGGTCATGCTGAACAGCAGCCCAAGCCTCTGGAGTGTCCGTGCTCCTCTCAGAAGAGAAGCATAGAATTCATTTATACAACTCCTAATCCTTACTGGGGGCTGTTCTGGTCCTCTGGCCAGATCAGAGCCAGCCACCAACCACCCCAACAAGCCAGCATGACAGCTCAGGAGCAGCAAAATGGCCAGAAAAAAAAATGCAGCCCTATTTTCTGTCCCAGCAGCCAGGGGATCTGCACAAAAGCTATGTTTCAGCTATGCTGGAAAAGGTTTGTTACAGCTTTTCCACATTGCAGTGGCCACAAAATGCAGAATTGGGCCAAGTATTTTGCTCCAAACCCTGCTGCTGGTTACTCAGCAAGCAGGAAGGCAGAAGAGAAACATTTTGGTTTGGAGCAGATGCAAGAAAATAACCTGAGATGTTATGCAGCCCTAGATAAGAAGCACAGTTAATGCTGCAGTGGTTTGCAATGCACAGAGTAAAACACCAAGCCCTGTATTACAGCCTGTTGTTATCATGACAGGAATTCACATTTTACAAAGAGCAGAATGAAGAGTCATCTCAGGCTCCTCACCTACAGCAAAATAACCATGTTCTCAATGCTAGATTTGTACCTTGAGGCACATACCTTAAATATTAGAACAAAAAGATAATCTGCATCCCAAAAGATCTTGTTGCAACACTGGAAAAGCCACTTACTTAGTCTAGGAAGGGGAAATGGAGTTTTTGAACCTGAGGTTCAAAAGGTGTGGCAGTAGCAACACAGGTGTCATTCTCCAGGTAATCTACTGCTGGCAGGAGCTGATTAAGCACAGGTGGATCAAGACCAATAACAAATTAAGAGTACAATTTAGACCATGGAGACAGGGAGCAGGTGGAAGCAGATCTGTGTTTTATGGTGTTCACAAGTACATCCCCACAGCTCTAAACCAAAACCTTTTTCAACTACCAGCAAGACAAATGAAAAGCAAGGTGTCAGACACACAGGCTGGAAGATGTCTCAAAATGTCTGTGTCCCATTCTGCAGTCCCCAGATTAAGGACATAGAACTCCTTGAGTTACATGGGTATGTAGTGAGAGGACAAAGGTCAAAGGTTTGAAGCTTAAAGAGGGGAAATCCAGGTTGAACATCAGGAAAAAGTTCTTTCTTGTGAGAGTGGTGAGATGCTGGAACAGGTTGCCTGGGCAGGCTGCTGATGCCCCATCCCTGGTAGTGTTGAAGGGCAGGTTGGATGGGGCTTGGAGCAACCTGGGCTGGTGGGAGGTGTCCCTGCCCAGGCAGGGGGGTTGGGACTGGATGATCTTTCAGGTCCCTTCCAACCCAAACCAGTCTGTAATTGTACGAAAAAAGGGAAAAAAATGTACATTTGTATTAACAGTTGAGA